AATACATGAGAAGAACCAATTAAAATATAGAAATAGAACACATGCTAAATCTTAATAAAATGATCTACATTAAGCATATATTATAATATAAATCTAATTTATAATAAAGAATCAATTAAATTATCTTAATAAAAACCAATTAGATTTCTAATAATCATTGTTCTTTGTTAAATACTATCATCATGTGAGAGAAATATTATTATTATAGATAAATGTTAAGCTCCTCTTGGTAATGACGCTATGCTCATCTAACTGATCTTTTGCATAAATGTATCAACAAATAGCTAAATAATATATAACATGTCATAACGGTGACAATATTATGCACTCAAAAAATATAACTCACATAAAATAATAACAATATTAATAAAATTTTATTGGTATTTTCTTTTGTATAATGCATTCAAATACTGATTGAGAATGAGATATATAGTGCTAAATTATTATCTTTTATTTGATATAATATCAAAGTATAATTTTATATAATATATATTTTTGTAATAATTATATCTTGATTTTTCTGAAATATTATTCTTCTTGATATACATTCCTACAATAAATTACTGAAAATCCAAAAAAAAGCATAATGAATATAATAAAAATTGTAAGTTTCTCTTTATAATGAAAATTTATTTTTATATTACAATAATATACTTTTATTAATCGAATAATTTTTTACCGAAATCTGTAAGTACCCTAGCCATGGCAAAAATAGCAAAATAACAAGATCGGATCACGTGCTGATTGTGGCACAAACCAATAAAAATGCGTGAATTTTTTATCAGCCCGGCAAAACAAATCCGGCGCAATAAAATGAAAAAAGCAAACAAAGTAAAAAATACGGGAAATAGATGCCTAAATCCAGCTTGGTACACTAAAAAAGAGTTTAGAAGACAATTTTATATATAATTTTGACTCCAGCTCTAACCTTAACCCCTTTAAATTAATCGTAGAATTTTTCCGGACATACACAAATATCACATGATCCGATCTTTTTTTTTGCCATGGCTAGGGTACTAGAAATATGTGCACGGCCATCCCTTTCTTTTCCGGAACATAACACACTTTTTTACCCGGCCAGCCTAATAACACTAAAAACGCTATGTCAACTATTACTCTTAGCTGTTTGGTCGCAGGCGAAAACCCTTACAATTGAAATAGATACAACGAAGCTAGTTAGTTTTTTCAAGAAAGCTATCAAGGAGGAGAAAAACCTCGTTTTGATAACGTTGCTGCCGATGAACTCAAGTTATGGAAGGTAGACATTTCCCTCGAAGAAGAAAACGATAAATTAATCGCCGTCAATACAAGATATCAAGGACGAAATCGGCAAGCACTTTCCCTCCCAAAAACATACAACGTCCTGTTGAAACGAAGGAGGTACATTGCACCGCAACGTATGGTCGCAAGTCAAAAAAGTTTCAGTGGACCGTAACCCGTGGACAAATAACCTTATTAGCTTTGAAGTCTCGACTTCGAGATTGTTTCACTTTTCCAGACGGTACCGAGGATGAGCACATCGTTATAAATCGAGAATGTGACAGTGAAAAGGAGAGTACGACCATCCACTTGGTCGGCGATGAGGATTTGGCAAGTGTAATTTGGACTACCGGATTTAAGGTGGAACTCGCAATCGTCGTGGACACATGTAAGTATCGTTGTATTTTTTGAGAATACTTTACATAGTAAAGATTGTTCGGGTTAACAGCTAATAAAACATGTACTCACGTATGAAACGAAAATGTTGATCCTAATTAATTGCTTTTATGATTTTATGTGTTTTAACTAAAACTTCTCTCTTTTGTTTACTATGATTAACTATAGGTATTGATTTGCACGAAAATGGACTTTTTTTTATTATAAAAAGATGGTGGTTTCGTTTGCTCTGAAAAGACAAGTCATTCAATAATTGTATTCACAAAAAAATCTATAAAATTATCAATAATCACTCAAAGAAATTATCTTCACAGACATCATGAAGCGATTTATTTTTGCATTCATTTTATTGGTTACGCTTTCCATGATCAATGCTTTACCTAAAGCTTTACCTAAAGCCTTATCTGATGGCGAAGTGCACGCTGACGGTGGGTTCTGCTGCAAGACTTTCGGAGCGTCCCCTACTACTATTTAAGTGCTCTATAGTTAAATTTTACATTTTTTAATTATAATTAATTATATTATTTTCATTAAATTTTGATAAATTATATTTATTATAACGAATTGTATTTATTATAACGAATTGTATTTATTATAACGAATTGTATTTAATATAATTCATTAATATCCAGTTGAAGGTTCGAATAATATCCACTTTAATATATAGTGTTTGTAAACAAGGTTCTGCTGCAAGACTTTCGGAGCGTCCCCTACTATTGCCGCCGAAGCATATCCTACTATTTAAGTGTTCTATAGTTAAATTTTACATTTTTTAATTATATTATTTTCATTAAATTTTAAATTTTGATAAATTGTATTTATTATAACGAAATGCATTTAATATAATTCATTAATATGTAGTGTTTGCATACAATAAAATTGAAACGGTAATACTGATCAACTATACCTTATATCGGATATTGTGTGTTCGTAAATTTTCACGGACAAAATATAATTAACACATATCTCAATATATAACAATCTAATTCTTGACATCCAGTGCTCCGATTTGAGCGCAAATATTATCACTAATTCACCTAATCATATGAAACGAATTACTGGATGTCGAAATATTGCATCCAATTCATTTTTTTAACATCAACAAAAATTAATCAGCTAATTTAGGATGTAATATCTTGACATCCAGTGATCCGATTTGAATAAAAATACTACCATTCGATTCGCTTTGACCAGACGAATCGAATTGTAGTATTTTGCACAAATCGGATCACTGGGCGTCAAGTTATTACGTCCGATTCATTTTTTTGGCGATCAATTTCCAATGAAACAAAAATGAATCAATCACTTTAGGACGTAATAACTTTGACGTCCAGTGATCCGATTTGTGCAAAAATAGATCACTGAGCGTCAAGTTATTACGTCCTAAAGTGATTGATTCATTGTATTTGGTGCGTGAAAGTTTTTGAACACACAATATCCGACATAGAAGCTCTGACAATTTATAAAGACATAGATGATCAGTATTTGTGCCATTCTTCGTGCTCGGATAATTTCTTGGCATTACACATGATTTATGTCGAGATAGAGGGGGTCGGATACTTATGATTCGCACTGTATATCTACCATAATTTATCTTTTTTCCGCAGATTCAGAAATTGAGAAAGATATAAAAAGTAAAATGCTTTTCAATCACAGATTCAGAAGACTTGAAATATATTTAAGAAAGTATTTTAATCTATTCTGATGTCATGTTAATTATCTTTATTCAAAATGTATATGTATCAGTTATTACATAAATGTTTTATTTTTCCAAGCACACACCTGCATGCATGCATACACAAGTTAAAAAAATCGAAGTCCGATGTATGCGAAAAACTTATTATTGCTTTGAATAAAATTACCGTAAGAGAAAATAAATGGCATGCTTTTAAGAGGGAGACGCGGACCCTAAGCCATGTTTGAAATTTCAGCGTCAAAAATTATGTCATGTGATAGTCGTGAAGACTTAACACAACGAAAATTTAAGACACATTATTTCATGTAAAAAAATCTATTTGCGGTTTATTGTCCGAAATCATTCGAGAAGATTGGGTGCGCGTAGCGCTGTGGGTCAGCCACTGGTAAAAACTCAAAAATTCAACGAATTAATCCTTACACGCTCCGATCGCCCATAGATAATAATAAATTATCCAAATTACCCGTGATTATTACTGAGAATTGTCGTACAACGGGCTGTGCGACAGAAAAATTTCACATATTCTTTCGTTTTCTCTTACTCCGACCATAACGATATTTTCCACCCAAGCCTTCGAGCTTAAACAAAAACGTTATAGGGCAACTTAATCCAAATACTCATATAGAAGATTTTGATGAGTTCTGGTATTATGATCGATTTGATGCAAGTGATTCTGAATTGTTCAGTTCTGAGTTTGAGATTTCCAATATTGAATCATCTGGTTCTGATACTTCTAATTCAGAATATGAACTCAATATTGCAATGAGTTGAGACGCATATTTGATCAGAGTCAAATTGGAAAAATTTTTATACTTAAATACAATGACTTTCCAAGATAAAGTTATCAAAGAATCAGCTTTATTGAATTAGGACAATATGCCAATCAAAACATATTATAGTCTGGTGCAAAAAGATTTGTATCTCAAAATAAAAGTTAATAATTGCTTCTAATAAAGTTATTCAGAATTTAACTAATCTCTATAATCATTTATAGTATATACATATACTATAAATGACTTAGATTAGATTATTAATATCTCATTTTTGAAATTTATACAGTCAAATCTCTATAGTCATGTCCGTTTATAATAACACTCCTCTATAGTCATCCTATTTTGCTTTCTCATTTACATATAAATATAGTAAAAAAATCTCTCTATAATCACATTCTCTCTATAGTCACCAAATTTTGCTTTTCTAAAAGTGATAACTATAAAGAGGTTTAATTGTAATTAAAGATACTTGTCTAAATCCTTTCAGAAAAATATTATCATAATTTTGATGGATTATATATACACTAATTATTTTGACATAATTTCAATTACAACAGGTTTCAAAATTTGTCAGAATTTTGATAAGTTATTTAACAGAATTTCAATGGTCACTAAGGAATTTTCAGCAAACAATCTTAATTGTAACATATTTTTAATCACACTTGAAAGTAATATATTCTATAGATTTGATCACATGGAAGAATGATCAATTATATAGAGTTGATCATATTATTATATAATATATACTGTAACTTTGATTATATACAAGCTAAACATGTAGTATTAGTGAGATATAATATCTTTAATATATAATAAATTTTGTAAAGTTGATCATATTTAAAGATCTATTTGTTTTATTACTTAATGTTCACTTTTTGTATGTATTTTGTATAACAAAGAGCAATTTTTTATTATGATTTTTCTAGAATTAATCAATAATCAAAATCTTAGATTATATAATAATAACTTAATTAATTTCTTAATATAAATATTAATTAAAACATGTGAATTTGAATTATAATACAAAATAATAATAATAATATAATTTGCAACATATATATAACAATTATATTGTGATTTATATATTATTCTTTAATCTGATTACAAATTATGTAAGTGAATAAAATAAAAGATTCTTTTATTTTATATATATAATATTTTTGGAGATTACTTTATTTTATTGATCCTGAATATATATTATTAAGTTAATAATTATTTGTAATTTTTCTTATAAATATAATTATATTTGAATTCTATTTTTACTAATAATATATCGAAAAAGTGAAGTGTTATTTTTTCAAAATGATATTTATTTTAATTTACTTTTTCTAATTTTGTCAAATACTTTTTTTAAATAAATTAGATAATTTTCAAAAGTATTAAAAATATGTTAATATTATTTAAGTATATTATTATAAACTTGTTGATATATAACTTAAAAATTATATTTATTAATTTTTAAAATATTGCTAATTTATTAATAAGTTCAAAAGATATTATATTGAATTTATATAATTTTTTTTATTTTTAAATTTTATTTTTATATATTAATATTTATAAAATAAGTTTAATATTTAGCTTTTTTGAATATATCAAATAGATCATCAATTTATGATAATGATAATTAATTTTTAATAGTAATTTAATTTAATTATTTATAATTAATACAAAATTTAAATTTTTTGCAATTATTATTGGTATTAATCAAGAACTTCATAATAAAATAATCTTTTGTTTGAGTATTGTTATAGTAGTAACATAAAAATTGTTAATTTCAAAAATAACTAAAAAACACATATTATTCAAAAATATTCATATAATAGTAAAAATCTCTCAAATTATTTTACTATTTATTTTACTTTTACTATTTATTTTACCATTTATTTTACTTTATTATTTATTTTACTTTTTACTATTTATTTTACTTTTTATTATCTTATTTTTATTTTTTTTTATAATTTTCAAATAATTATTTTACCTTTTTAATAATTATTATTTGAAATTGTATTTTTGAAAAATGTATAAATAAAAATGCTATTTGAGTCTTAACTCAATATATTATAACTAAAAATAAAAATCTTTCTTAACAAAAATCTTTTTTCAAACACTTTTTACCTCTTATATTTTCTTTATACACTTCAAATTTTATATATAAGTAATCAAATATTATATTATATCTAACAATTACTAATAATATTATGATATTTCTTGATGAGTATTATTATAATATAGATATTCAATCAATATTTAATAATAATAATTCTATGATTACTTGATCTCATTATAATTAATATACTTTAGAATTATCATGCAATACATTTTCTTCTATCTGTTAGATAGACTCTTACTATTATTAATAAATATTATATTGTTACCGTTCTTATAATGATAGGCAAAGTATTAACTAATTATAGTAATTTAATTAAAAATTGTATAAGAGTGATAATAGTGACTGTGTGTACTTGAGAGGATTGGATACTAGATGGTTGGGAGAGAGTATTAAAAAGAAATAGATTCTATACTTCCACTAGTTGGGTAAGTATTTTAT